GACATTAAGATTCAAGAATAGTCTCATACCACCCCCCTATAACCTTTACAAAATTATAAATAATAAAAAAAACCTTTATTCGTTTAAAATCAAATTATTATAATAATTTACGCACAAGGTTTGAACCTGCACATTAGATTCACGAATTTTTTGATCCTTAATGTATTTGTAAACAATATTAATATTTATAGTCCTTTTTACTATTTTATATTTGGTAAACCATTTTACTATTTATGTACAATTTCAGTAATTTTAGAATGAAATTTTGGAATTAAAGTAAAAGGTATTATTCGATTCTCCATTACCACATTCTTTTAGTTCAACTTTCAATTGGTTATTATTATCTTTCAGTACCACAATCACATTTTTTGTGCACATGATATGTTTGACAATGCTTCCTTCGAACTCTAGTGTCGATCACTTTCAAAACTACAAGTAAAACATAAAGGGATGCAAAATATTGAGTTGAGTGGCATCAAAGATTTGAACAAAACACGGAGAGAAATAAAGGGATCATTTTATTTTTATTATTTTAAGGCATTTTAGTTAAAATGATTTCTAAGATTTGCTTAACTTCTCACTTTGGTCCTTGAGAATTTGAAATCATTCTAGAATTGTCTACCGTCAATCATTTTGGTCATTCCATGAAAAATCTTTGTTAAATAAAGACCAAAATGATAAAAAGACCCTCAATACAATGATCCAAAATGATTTGACAAAAATTGAGTTATTTTTGTCATTTTCTTCTCATTTAACAGAGCTTTTTTTATGGATATATCAAAATGATGGACGGTGGGTAAACTGAATGACCAGTTCTATAGATTTTAAATCTTAGAGACCAAATTTAAGTGTTATGACAAACTCAAAGATCATTTTAACAAAAAATTCTTATTTTAAAATAGTTAGTATGTAAAGTGACTTTTAATGTCCATCATCGCGATTGCTATACTAATGTTATCACTTCATATTAATATAGTGTATAAATTTTAAACTATACCTTAAGTTGAAGACATCATTCGTATAATAACATATGAATTAGTAACATTACGCAATCGTAAGTGGAGCCAAATTGGCCCCATCGTCTATGTAGTCACTAAATACATGGGACGTACAGCTGGAATGACGCGTAAGAAAACTTGCTCACTACTGTGCCACATTACTTGCACATTACTTATCTGAGCCAACTCACTCTCACAGTTTATTTCTCAGTCATACAAGTTAATACCGATGAATAGTTATGGTCTTGTGGGCAACAGCATCCATCAAGATATGCAAATTGTATTAATATTGCACAGATATAGCTGGTTCTAATCGCATGCTTCCTGTCCTACGCGCAGAGTTTTTTTCTGAATTTATTTGGATATTTCTTTATTTTTATCTAGTTGGGAGCAAGGAGGGGGCCAAGGCTGCTATGGGAATTTGCATCATTGCATGTGGGAGGGAGGGAGGAGGTCATGTGTGATTTGATGAGGGTGTCAACACAGAGAAATATTTCAGTGTGCTAAGAGTATGGTCCAAAATATTAAGTTTTATAATATGATTTCTTAAAAGTTTATTTTTTAAGTTTTTAACCATGGAGTATCGAGTTGTGTTTCGATACACTGAAAAATATATCATCAAACGTGTTATTCGATTTCCATTACACACAGACAGAGAGAGGAGAGGCCTTATTCACCTTCCTCTTCCTAGATAAAAGGTTTTTCAATGTCGAGGACCATCCGATTCATGACTTGTAAGTTTGTAACTCATGGCTCTGCCATGTGGTGCAGGAAACTAGGGGAGGGACCAAAAAAAGGGAATAGAATGCACCTAGGTTTAGGTTCATTTGCTGACAAACAATATATTGAAAACTTTGTTATATTTCAGTCACAAACGGAGAGAAACTTACTTTGAAATGATGTTATTCTTGTTAGAATATATAGGATATGGAGGGTGTGGATCATGACACATGTAATTAGCCAAATAGATAAGGTAGTTAGGAGTGTGGCTGTTAGAATAATTAGTTAGGATTGTTGGTAAGTAATTAAGCTGGTTAAGGCAGTTAGCTAAGTACTCTTCTATATAGCAACTGTACCCTTTGTAACAAAGAATCAATCAAGAAAATAAAATAGCAATTCATTCTCTCTCTCTCTCTCTCTCTCTCTCTCTAAACCTTCTCTGTTTCCTTCTTCCTCCTCTATGATCTCTCTGTTCTCTTCTTGCATATTACTTAACAATTGTAACGGTATTGTTTCAAACCAATCATGTAGTATTATGTGTTTTAACTTTCCTACGTAACGTACATAACAATACACAATAGGATATACAACAGTTATAACAGTTTCCTAGTAACCCTTCTCCACCAATTAATATCACATCATATAGATGACAGTTTCTTATTTTCTTAGTCACTATCAAATAAAATGAGATTAAACATAAATTAACAAAGCAGTACTCAAGTAATTAGTATTTTATTTACCCAAAAAGAGCTAGGGTTTCATATATTCATTAAAAGAGTGTAGAGGAAGGCTCCACATAAAAGTCAAGCCCACCATTTATGATGAATACTCATAGTTCTATACTACTTAAATCACTCTTCTATGTTATGGAGTGCTCCCCTTCCTTTATTTTTTATTTTTCCATTTCCTCGATCTGTGTCTTCTTGTAGTTCATCCAGCAGTTTATAGTTATAAACTACTTTGTCCTGTCAAATTTTTGCCAGCCTAAACACAATGTCGATAACCATTCATTCTAACTGGTTGTTTGTTTGTCATTCAAGTCAATTGAGGACCTACACCAATAATGTTTATACGGTGAAATAGTATTACACAATTACACTATCAAAATCCCCTCTTATAATTAATTAATACATGCATGAAAACAGATTATCATTTTTTCCCTCCAAGTTCTTCACCATAACCTATTTTAAATTTTAATCCATTTCGACAAGTACCTAACTCGTTTTAAAACTAATGATTTAGAACAATTGGATCAGATGACGCACGATTTGTGTTGGGGAATTCGACTTCAACAACTCTACATTTGATCCTCCAAGAGTTCTTGTACTATTTGGAGTTTTCTACGATGTGAATTTATACTTAATGCAATCGTAATTTTAATATTCTAATGTATAGATTAGTCGTAGTGCATTATTATCTCGTTATATTTGACAAAAAGGTTGAAAACGTGGAAAGAAAATAAAATTAAACATAAAGCAAATTGAAGCATAATTGGTATGGGAACAGAAACGAGAGTTTGGCACCACCATTATGATCTCGCATCGATAATTACAAGATTTTCAGAGGTCCATATATACGTGCCAATTATGAGTTAATTCGGACCAAGCACTCTCAATGCCTCAAAGGTATGAAGCACATATGGGGTCCTATGGTCCTCTTCTCCTCACAGCGATGTGCCAAACAAAAGGCTCGACGTCCCTACTTGGTTGCTACCGAGCCTTTTCCCTCATTACTTGTGTATTTGTTTTGTGATGCCACCATATCCTTAAGTGTCCAACACCACCTTTGTCATTTTCAATGACACACAAATGCCCAACAGTGACAAATGGGAAGCTTGACGTCAATCATTTCCTCCACCAAAAACCGGGGGGAAAATGAAGGAGATTACAACCTAATTGTCCACACGCGTTGCTATGTGTCTGAGAGTAGCGAGATAACACTGCTCGAATACAAATGTTTTTAAAAGAAAGGATAATGCTACCTCCTGAGACCAAATTCTTAAACTAAATTTGTAAATAAAATAATTTTACTAATAAGAACTAAGCACGTTAGTCAACACTTAATTAATAATCCAATCATCTACAACCACATCATTTGGTTTGCAAATTTGGTTTTAAAAATTTGGTATTCTAGCATTACCCTAAAAGAATGTGAAACTCAACAATAGAGTTTATTGTCTTAGCATTACAATATTGTGTAATTTTGGACTTGTAAATAAAATGTTTCTAGTTTAACTTACATAGGTGACAAGTTTGATGTCTAATTATTATGATTATTTTATTGTGGAGTATACTATGCAGACCAAATTTGTAAACTATATGATGTGTCAACAATAGAAAGTAAGCATGTTAATCAATACTTAAGTAATAAACCAATCGTTAACAACCACATTATATGATTTATAAAATTTGGTTTCAAAATTTGGTCTCCCAACCATTACCCTTTATTGTGTAGCTTAACTTAAATTCACTTTCAAAATATAATATATGATATAACAAAAAAAAAATAATTAACATTTTTTTTGAACAAACAATATTATCTACACTAAATAATGGAGAATGATTATACTTTAAACCTCAAGTTTAATTTGGGGGTGGTTTTCAAATCATCGTACAATTAATGTGGGCCTACCATATTAAAGAGTGTGTCAATGTTGAATATCTAAATAACTTTATCATGCCATCAATCCTATAACGGTTAGTATTTCTTTTCATTTATATGTAAGAGGATTTAGGTTTCATTAATTTTTTTTTTTGAACAAACGATATTATTTACACTAAGGAGAAAGAGGTGGGTTAAATCTCACAATGAGCTAGCAATAATATAATTCAAATTTGCCTTTGACGAGAATCGAACGTTAATCCTCTTCACTTTTAGATGACAAGTGTAATACCAAATTATTATAAAAAAAACATTATGTGGCTTAGGCTAAATCTTCACCTAATACATAAAAGACATGCAATATATTGTAAAATTATCAGAAAGACATGTCGAGGACCCATTTTCAATAACATCGATAGTGTTCTCAACTAGTAATTACCATCTGTCCAATCCGTCAAGTGTGAAGTTTAATTACGCAAGGTTTCGATATTAGTTAGACCAAAATAATTCTATTTAAATTGCTTTTCTTTTTTTCCTCTAACCAACGTGGGATTCAACGTATATATGGGCTAAGAATATAATGAATCATTTTGACCACAGAATCAAAGCCCATCCCAAACCTCCAAAAGCGCCCAAACCTCACACAACCACCGGAGGCAAACAAGAAGGAATATCAGATCATCAAAATCCAGTGGTTAACCCCAGCACCGATTAAGAAAAAGCCAGGGGAAACCATATGATATGTTATAGCTGTCAGAGGGTCTAATGGGGATTATGTTTTATATTGTAGGTTATTTCGTAAATTTCTACTTGCCACCTTAAACCCTAACCCTAACCCATTTCGTGTGTGTCATCAATTCCAATGACGACTAAGAAGAAACTCCAAGCGTGCGTCTACTTTCCTGAGGAGATTATAGTGAGCATTCTATCATCTCCAACCCTCAGTCAAAATTATCTCGTCTCCGTCGCCTCTCAATCACTCCATTCCCTTGGCTTGGAAGCGCCACCATTCGAGATGATTCTTCGGTTACAAATACCTTTCAAACCGTGACCTCCAAGCATCCTAAGTTTACTTACCTACTGGGCTCCTGCAATGGTCTTGTATTGGTATCTGTTGATGGTTGTTGGGACTTGTATCTCCGTAACCCATCAACAGGAATGCAATTTTCGATTTATGGTTTGGGTTATGCGTCGGCTACTATAAGCTCTTAGTAGCTGATCTTACTAGGAATTTTGAGACTGTTTTGTATATGGAGATGTTCTCATTGAGAGCGAACTCTTGGAAAAGTATTCATGTCCCTGAACATGAGAGTGATGCATCTGGGCAAGATGTTGATTATTTTCAGTATGTTTTGATGCAATAGATAACTTGGATTCGAGATTTGTAAGGTATCTTGTGAACATTTGGTAGTTCAGGGACTCAGCTTGGATCAAGAATGCTTTAAAACACAAGAAATTCAAAATGGGATTCCATGTTAGCAACTCATCTTTCTTGTGGCCATGGCTATGGAGGTGTCGTATGGTGGCTTTTACAGAATTGCCTTGTAGCATTTCAGTAGAAATACCCGAAAACATTGATCTCATTTTCCACTTAATTATATACCTTTGAGAGTTGTACCTCAAGTTCATACTCGCAGTATCTTACAGATTTTCATTTGTGGGCAGTGAACTCAAATCCTCATGGTGTTAAATTTGAAGAGTATGTTCTCTGTTCCTTAGTGCATTTTTATAAGATCCCATACAGACTTGTTATTTAGGGATTTACTCTGCTTGTTTTCAAGGGGTGTTGATGTTGCAAAAATTAAGAAAAATGCTTTCCACACACCTCTTTTCTCAGCTTCTTACAAATGCCTTTGTATTTCTGGCCTTTGGATCGAACAAATGAAAGCAGAATCAAGAGACAGAAATACACAAGGATGTGCAGAAGGAAAAAGGCGTGTGCTGAAATAATTTCCCAAGATTAATGCTTTTCCAAATGAATATTGTACTTGCTATACTTGCTAGAGAGTTGATTAAAGATATTCTGTTTTTCTGTGTCTTGTGTATAAAGCTTCAACTAACTTTAGGCATGTTAGGCTTTCATAAAAAGTAGTAGAAAATGGCAGATGAGCAAAACAGATCATGGGAAAGTGTAGTTACACTTTAAAGTGGTGTTAACGTTTTACATTCCAATCTGTCTGAATTAACTCGAGTTATTTAGTCGTTTCCTTCATTTATTCTGAGATAGCTGTATAGCTCAGCTAAGATTACCGAAGGCCTTGTCATAGGATATGAACCCCATGAACCAGAATTCATGACCATCTCTTGTGACAATGTGTATATACTTTTCTGAAGGGTTCCATATGTTTGTTGAAGGATTTATGTTCTTAACTAATCAAGCTGCACCACCACCTACATGAGATTTAGCAACTTGTTAGAGGAAAGATAAACCTAAGAATTTGAATTATATGTCCAGTAGAAAATCTACCTTGTAATGCATGGAAGTTGGATGTCCTGGGGACAAATAGTGTAAGAAATCACTGCAGAAGGCTATTCGTACATTGGAGATGTACAGCATCCCAATCACAGATCCATGAGAAGTTGATAGATAGCAAGCATATGAATGTAAGAGCTTCTCTCCTGTAATTCTTTCAAATGTCTGCTGGAATACTTTTTCTTGTCCTCCGGTAGTATGCACCTTTGTGCCGGTATTTAGCCTTGCCTTCGCTGCTTCTGTGAAACTTGGACACATTCTCACTGTCATGAAAAAATTCCAAAATTTGTTATGATCTAGGCTACTTGTATGACATGCAAACGAAGATTGATAAGGGTGAATCAATTCAAAATCCTGTAGGGAGGCTCTACCTGTTAGAAATCAGAAATGCAACTACACAAAACAACTTAACAGAGTTCCAGAGCAATATTTCTAAAAGTTGAGAAGATGAAATCAGAGGAAGAAGAAACACACAGAGCATAACACTCGAACAACTATCATTGTATTTCTTACTGAGCTGAGGTAGCTCGAAGAGTCATTTAACTGATGGAGCTGAGAGAGAGAGAGACATATCCTCAATTCAATCTCAACCATCCATTACAACCTATCTTAAGATCAAGACACTTGTCAAATGATAAGCCCTATGAGACTTAATCAACACAACACAGATTTACACAATAGCTCAGCCTATGAGCTGAGACATCACACACATAACAACCTTGTAACATTTTCTAATCAGCTCAACAACTTATATACTAACACTCCCCTTTAAGTTGTGAACTGATTTCACCCCAAGAAGATTTCTCAAGTAAGTGAACTGCTCCCTTGCCAATGCTTTTGTAAAGATATCTGCTATTTGCTCCTTAGTAGGACAGTGAATCAAATCAATTACTCCTTGCTGCAATGCTTCCTTTATGAAGTGATATCTTCTGTTTATATGTTTGGTTTTCTGATGAAAGATAGGATTCTTGGTGATGGCAATGGCTGATGTATTGTCACAATTCATTGGTGTTGCAACTGTTTGCATCTCACCAAAATCCTCTAGAACAAATCTCAACCAAGTAGCCTGTGCTGTTGCTTCAGAAGCACTGATATACTCTGCTTCGGCTGTTGATAATGCAACACATTGTTGCTTGACTGAAGATCAAGAGAAAATCCCATTTCCAAATGTAAAGGCATATCCGGACGTGCTTTTCATATCATCCTCTGAGCCACTCCAGTCACTGTCACAGTATCCCATTAAGAGTGTTCCTTCACCTTTCTTGTATTCCAACCCGAAATCAAGAGTTCCTTGAACATATCTCAATACTCTCTTTGCTGTTCCATAGTGCTTGTTAGTGGGACAATGCATAAACCGAGCTAAGAGACAGGCAGCATACATTATATCAGGTCTAGTTGCTGTGAGATACAGCAGACTACCTACAATCTGTCTATACTGAGCCTCATCTGCATTTCCACTTCCATCTTCTTTTCTCAGTTTATCACTTGGAACCAAAGGAGTATGTACTGATTTGCAATTCTGTAATCCGAATTTCTTCAGAAGAGATAAGGCATAATTTGTCTGATGAATGAAGATACACTCCTCAGTTTGGATCACTCCCATTCCAAGAAAGTGATGTAACAGACCAAGATCTGTCATCTCATACTTATGCATCATCTCAGCTTTAAAAACATCCATTAACTCTTGACAATTTCCAGTGTATATAATGTCATCGACATAGATGGACACTATGATCAAATCTATGTCTCCCTTGTACTTGGTGTACAGAGTTGCCTCACTGATGTTTTTCTTAAATCCACAGAGCATTAGATATGAATCTATTTCACCATACCAGGCCCTAGGTGCCTGTTTTAGACCATACAAGGCTTTATGTAATCTGTAAACCTTTTCTTCCTCTCCTTGCACCACAAACCCATCTGGCTGTTCAACATATACTTCATCTTCTAATACTCCATTCAGAAAAGCTGACTTCACATCTAGTTGAAATAACTTCCATTTATTCTTTGCTGCCAGTGCAATCAGAGTTCTAACAGTGTCTAACCTTGCAACAGGTGCAAAAGTCTCATTAAAATCAATCCCAGGCTTTTGTGCATAGCCTTTTGCAACAAGTCTAGCCTTGTTCTTCTGCACTGTTCCATCCAAATTCAGCTTTGTTTTATACACCCATTTTACCCCAATCACAGGCTTATTTGAAGGTCTTCTCACCAACTCCCATGTCTGATTTTTCTCAATCATATTCATTTCATCCTGCATTGCCTTTTTCCAAGCTGCATCCTGTGCAGCCTCATCAAAAGATTCAGGTTCAACAATACATAAGTGGCACCTCTCATAAATCTCACTCAAGTTCCTATACCTCAGTGGAGTATTATCATACTGAGATGAAACCAGTGAACTACTTGACTCACCAATAACAGTAACTGGAGGACTTCCAGCTTGAATTTGAGATCCATCAGATTCTTCTTGTTCATGAACATCAGTCAACTCATCAATTCTATCAAACTCTGAAGATTCAGCTGCAGATAAAGGAATACAAACTTCCTTGACTTTGTTTTTCTCTCAGTCCCATCTACCATTCTCATCAAAAATTACATCTCGAGATAACAGAACCTTTTGAGTTAAAGGATTCAGTATCCTATACCCCTTTTCACAAGTGCCATATCCAATAAAAACACCCATAACACTTGTTTCTTCTAATTTGTGTCTTAGATTCCCTGGAATAAGTGAATAACAAACTGAACCAAACACTTTCAAGTGTTTAACCCCAGGTTTTCTTCCACTAAATTTCTCAAAAGGTGTAGTGTTCTTCACTGCTTTTGTAGGACTCCTGTTTAGCAGATACACAGATGTGTTTACTGCTTCACACCAGAGACTGTATGGAAGTTCTTTCTCAAAGATCATGCATTTTGCCATCTCCACAATTGTCCTGTTTTTCCTTTCTGCTACTCCATTTTGCTGTGGAGAGTATGCAATTATGAGCTGCCTTTCTATCCCCAAATCTTCACAAAATTTCCCAAATTCATTTGAGTTGAACTCTCCTCCTCTATCTGTTCTTAACTTCTTTATATGATATCCACTTTGAAGCTCAACCATGACTTTAAATTTCTTAAACACATAGAAAGCCTCAGATTTGTTTCTCAAGAAATATACCCAGCACATTCTTGAATAATCATCTATGAAGGTAATGAAGTATCGATTTCCACTCAAACTTGATGTTTGCATGGGACCACACACATCTGAGTGTATTAGCTCAAGTGGTTCCTTTGCTCTCCACATTGATTCTTTGGGAAATAGTGTTGGAAATGTGCCCTAAAACCAATCATATGATAATACTTTACGGACATTTCAAACTAATGTAGTTTAAATGTAAAGGGCAAAGATTATTGTTTGAGCCGTCTCATATAAATGTTATATGCTTAAACGATAAGTCCAAGGAATATGTGATTGGAAGAATGCGATCTAAAGAAGTTAGATTCATGATACCATTCTTTCGTTGACACATCCTAAACGTTCCTGATCATAGGATTGTCAATTGGGCATTGACAGTCCGTTAAGATCAGTACGTGCTATGTCTTCTCTCAGGGAGAGTGACTAGTCTCGAGTCATTGGTGTGTGTGACATCAAGACAAGTACGTAGGTGCTCAATAGAGAATGAGTTCACTGAACACGATCAACGAAGAGTTCTCATATTCATGTCACATGAGAACTCATGGTTGGGATAATGCAAATTAGTCTTTTGACCTGAGGCATCACAGTTGTCTTGTGGTTAGGTCCTTAATCTTTGATTATGTCAAAGTCACTCCATCAGGAGCGTGTCCATGGCATCGTTGGGGTTAAGCCACTTAGCCATGGAGGCAAGTGAATGCGCAACAAGGGATCTCTAACCTTCAAACTGTTTGAGGGAGAATACTCTATGATATGATTAAGAATCTTTGGCCAAAGTATGAATGAGATTTAGGAATGTGTTCCAAATCACATTCAAGGTAATCATATAAGCACAAGACTCACATTGGATAGTAGACATGAATAAACTATCAAACCAAACAATGTGGTCAAGAGTATTGTATTAGAGAAAGATCGTATTGCATTTGTAATCCTAAAACTGAATAGGTTCTCCACCTCTTCTGATTAGCTTGGGTAACCATGACATGCTGCTAGGCGTCAACCATGGTTTGTGGAAGCCCTAAAAGTGTATTATCACTAACGAGAGAATTGAAAGTAAGTTTCAATTCACAATCGATTTGAAAGAGTTTGAATCGCCCACTGCCTCACTAAAAGGAACCTAATGGATCGTACACCGTGTAAGGTAGAGATTGAAGATTCAACGGAGATGAGTAAGAATAATTAAATGGTTTAATTATTTATGGCAAGGATTAATTAATGTGATTATTAATCAAACGAATAAGTTCGTTGAAGACCTCGGGATAGTTTTGGACCTTAAGGCCCAATGGGCTTCGAACGTCAAGTCCATTGACTTAAGTTGTATGACAACTTAATGAATAATGATTCACAAAGGGCCAAATAGCCCAATGAATACCCTAAGGCCGGCCATTTAGAGAAAGAGTGGGTTTTGACTTATTTACAAGTTTGCCACTCAAATGAATTAAGGTATAAGTGTGACTTAATAGCCAAAATTCATTAAGGGTTGTTTTTGGGGAAATTGGAAAAACACAAATCCTCCTTTCTCTTTAGAAATGGCCGGCCACCCTTGAGGAAAACATCTAGCAATCTTACTTCCTCAAGGTCACTCATTTCTTCTCCAATCTTACTTTGGTGTGGAGACTTAGAGGTTCTCAATTTTGGGAACTTGGAGAAACCTTTTCATCCATCCAAATCCATGGATCTAAGATGCAAGGAATGAAGGCCCTCTCTTTGGGTGATTAGCCTTTGCTTATACAAAGAGGAATCTACAAAGGTATTGATTTCTCAACTCACTTTGTTTTGAGTTGAGTCTTGGTTCACCTATCTACTAGGCTTTGAAGTTCATGTGTTAAGTTTTGTTTTTGAGTGCATATAAACATGATTCCGCCTTTTAATTGTTAATTGCATGTTGTTGATGTTGCTCAAATGAACTTGTTTTTCACAAATCTTCCTTCAAGTGGTATCAAGAGCCTAAGTCTAGTAGTTGGTGAATCCTTTTGGGTTTTGTAGTTCATAGTTTGTGATTTGAATGTTGTAATTGTTACAAGCTTTATTCTTGCTTCTTTGAATGTAAATTTTGTTAGAAAATTTGCCATCTCAAATGTTGTAGATGTAGTTCATATG